GAACCGGTACCAAATGTGGGAACCGGTTCCAAGAGTCCTGATTCCAAAAGGTTTTCAGTTTCCTTGTTCTGTTTAATTCCTTTTTTATCCAACTTTCCTTCCAAGTCTCATGCATGAAATTTCCTTTATTTTCAGAAGGAATAGGACTTTGCAAACCTCTATATAAACCATGTCAAACACATAGGTTTATTTACGGCTTTTGCACTATCAAGTTATTATTCTTAAAAGCCTTAGGAAGATTTTTATTTTAGAAATTCTTAGAGAATTTTCTGTTTATCTTTCTAGAACACATATACATAAACACATCGTGAGTTTAGAGTTGTGGTGTTCAAATCCTGATCGTGATCATACAGTTGCATCACCATCGATCAGAAGAAAGTAGATCTTCTTCTACATCGAATTCGGACGATTGAAGAACAGAAGTAAAAATGATCACACTTTGAAATGGTTGGAGCATTCGTAGAGTCTTGTCTAATCTACCTGTTACTCTTCTACCAATATCAAGCATAAGCCTGAGGCCAAATTGCTGTTGGTCGGGGAGTCGTAAAGCCAAATGATTGTCAGCAGTTGGTGTTTTGTAGAACGATAGGGTGTGAGTCAAAGTCAAAGTTCAGTGTACTTTATTTCAAGCATAGTGGATCGGTTTACTTTAGACTGCAAAGTCCACGAGGTTTTTCCTATACAAACAGTTGACGTATTTTATCAACTAGGGTTTCCAAACTAAAATCCTAGTGTCATCTTTAACTTTACTTTGCTTTATTTTATATTGCATGATATTGATTTATTAATTGCTAAAATAAAGAAAGTTGGAAAAGACACAGATCTGTTTTAAAATAATAAAAACTTTCTAAATATTCCGCTACGTACGACTCATAATTTTTAATGTTGTATAAGGTATACTCAAACATCCACAGGTACACAATGATTTTACAAAGAAAATCCCTCTCAACTAAAGATCAAAAACCATGGTTCCTGGCCACTGCCAATGTAATCTCTGGTGGTGTCGGTACCTAGTTGCACAAAAGTGTGTAAAATGTGAAATGTAGTGTGGCCAAGTTTGAATTTATAGAATGCCACTACCACTACTAACTATTAATGGAGCTAGAGTAAGTAGGGATCATTCCAAGAGAAATGAACGGTATTCTTGGAATCAATGTTGGAGTAGTGGGTTGAATGATCAAAAGATGGTTTGTTGATTGAATTATACTATAATTTAAACTAAATAATTGCAATGTAAAACAACTAAAATAATATGAGGTGTAGAGAATATGAGAGAGGAGTCTTGGGTCATAGAGTTCGCCACTAAGCATTACCTTCATAGACATTCAATATTTGATGGATTGGGGGGATTGTGTGTTATAAATGAAAGTGTGTGCCATTAATTGAATTATTAAGTATGGATGGCCAAGTAAGCATACATTGTCTAGTCAATCTAGTAACTAGCACAACATATCAAATTAAGTCATTAATCCTTCCATAAGTCCACAATTAATGCACACTTATCAAATTAGAGAAATATACTACTTGCATTCATTAGGTTGTATATGTAGGTAGCTTAAGTCCCAAGTCCCAATGTGGGACGCCTCTACATTTTCCCCCACCTCCACTTGTACTCGCAACATTCTCATTACGGTTAGGACACCCTGCCTGCCCAGTCTGGACCTAGGCACCTCTCAGGTGGGCTCACCCAACCGGCCGATACTTTGCTTGACACCGGTCCAAGGACTAAGTCTAACTTTGATACCAACTGTAATAGTTCAGACACTTTCCCTCTAACCCAAAATCTTAAAATATTGGTTATTATTGCATGCCCACCCATTTATATCCATTTCACTTCCCATTCGGATCTAATATAGGAAACCTCTAACACCAAGTACTGTATTTCTCTTTCACTCTTTTAATCTTGCTTTTAAAAAAAGTGTTTTAAGAACTTATTTTTGTAATCTATCAAACCTAGGATAATTCTCAAAAACCTTAAATTAATTCCTTTTTTTACCATGTTATCATTTACTAATGTTTTAAAATTTACTAAGAATAATTTAGACAACCTACCAACACGCCAGTGGCTTAGCGGTACCAGACCCCTACTTTCCGAAGGGAAGTCAGGGGTTCAACCCTCAGTGGAGGCATGTGTGTGTGAGTACAAACTAAGAAAAAAAAAAAAAAAAAATTTAGACAAGCTTTTGCATGATCTATTATCTCTCCAACTCTTCCTCTTCGTTCCCTCACCTTTCCGTGTCATCCTTTTCGTGAGGATGTTCTCTCTTTCTAAAATGTAGTGTAATTTCTGTTATTTGAAATAAGATGACTGTCTTCAAATTATAAAACTAATGTTTGATGTTTGGCAAACTAACCTACTAGGTAGAGAGATCGTATGTCAAGAATCCCCTCAATAATCTAGAGAACGTAGCAGATTATGGAATCACAAGGACATTCTTGGTATACTAAAAAAAAAACACGTTAAGTGCCAAAATTATTTTGTCAAAACTAAAGGTTCATTTCAGTGTAGGAATGTCATAGCATACGATACATCATTGAAGTCTCACAATTTTGGGATGTGATTCTAGTGACATGCATAATAGTTTTTCTACCCCTCTCTAAGACTACTACTACTTAATTATGTTTGCCTAATAGGAAGCTACGAACATCTCTTTAAGAGACCTAGTATGGTTGTGTGGGAGGAGTTTTTGTGAGATATTTAATTTTATGTTAGCAAATTTTGTAGTCAAAACTTAATGATCGGATTGTAATTTTTATTTATTTATTTTAAGTCTCGATCTTTGGAGCTGAATGGCGAGTGCCTTCATATCGTGAAATTAGATGAAACATCATTTAGAACTGGTGTGTGACTTAAGACGGTTTGAAGTTTGGTAGACAAGGACTTAGAATTTTGAGTTTTTAACCAAAAATTTCAAATCCTGAAAAGTCTAACCAGTTGCACTTTTAGTGACCGTCCAACAAGTCTCGGTTCGAAGCTCCAGAAAAAATTCTGCAAAGTTGGACTGATCGCACTTTTTGCGACCAAACGCACTTTGCCTGATATGTGCGGAATTTTATGTTTTAATAAGATTTTGTTTCCTTTTAGCACCAAACTTCTTGAGACATCCTACAACATTTTTAAAACCCTGTTCTAATTATTGAGGACAAGTATTTAAACCCCTCTTATCTCCAAGCCTAGTAAGACTTTGGGGGGAAGACAGAGAGAATAATTTTACACCATTGTTGGAGCTTCCAAAAAGATTCTTGAAAAAAAAAAATACACCATTGTTATATTTTTTAGAGCACACACATACCCGTGAGTGTTTTAGGGTGATGTTCTTCATCAGTTTAAAGGATTTTCAGAGATAACTTTAGTTTACTCAGTTATATCAGAAGAACAGATTTCTTTCTTATATATTTGTACTTCTGAAATGAAGGGGAATCAGTCACTATGAATGGGATAAATTGTTTGTAGAATGGTCGTGTTCTTCCAGCCACCTGTCTGCAAGGATCAAGGAGTCAGTTTGAAAAATCAGTGAACATACCTGAAAAATCTCCAAAGAGGACTGGTTAAAAATGGATCATTATGGGTGATTTTAATTCTCTGTTGCATCAATCTAAGAAAATAAGGGGGGTCTGCGAATCCAAGACTAGATGTTGAAATGCTTCACAGATCTGATTGATGGTTGCGGCCTGTTCGATATGGACTATAAGGGATTCCTGATAAGCGTCCAATGTTTCACATTCAAGCCCCTTTATTTACATACATTAGCTCTATTTATTTTATGCTTTTATGTTGTTTTTGTGTTTGTGATATTTTCAGGATTTTATCCTCCAAATCAATTAAATCTGGTAATTTCGGGCTTTCAAATGTTGTCTACTTGGGCTAATTTTCAACGAAGATCTCAAGCCATTTTGGACCAAGATCGTGGTCATTTTGACACCTAATTGAAGATAGGGATTGGGCCCGAGAACAAACCAAGCCCATAAGCAAATTGGGCCCTTCAACATGCTACAATTGATCGTCGCCCAATAACACAAGTGCGATGGTCGGTCGTCTTCATTGGCTCTCTATTTTAATCTTAGACAAAGTGTTGAGTTACGGGTGACCGATCGTCGCCGGTCAACGAGAGTACGTAGTTCGGTAGACGATTTGTGCCAACCAAATATAAGTTATTCTTAGTTTTTGGTTGCATGTGTATTCATTTTCTTGACGATATCTTTACGAGTATGACGCCACACGAATCTTTAGTTATTTACAGAGAATGAATTCCCCATGATTAAATGAAAAGCCATAGTTATGAGGTCACGGTGAAGTCAATTCCCTAGCCCTCTCTCTATTAATTATCTCTATCAATCGCATTCAATTTCCGATTTAAGTAGTTGATTTCATTTTCTCTATTTTGAAAAACAAACAATCCTCCATTTTGAATTAAACCGAAGTAATCTTTAAGAACTTAACGGCCATAACCTTTGCAATCTTCGTGGTTCGACACCCTCTACATAGCCTTATTCTATAAGGACTCTATTGCGAGTTGTTTTATCATTAAAAAACGAGTAAAACGTTTTAACACATCAATTCCCATTCACCTGGAGTAATAAAGAAGGAAGGGGAAAGACATAACAAAGCTAGATTGGACAGAGGCCTCTGCTCGTTAAGTTGGCTTCAATCTTTTCAGAATTTTGGGCTTCATCGTTTCCCTATGGCTGGTTAACATCCCTGGGTTCTTAAAGAGTGACAATGAAACCTTCTTGCCCTTGAAAAGACAATTCTTCTTTAATGCTAATTTGGTCAAGCATGAAGAGTTCAAGTCATTGACTGTCAGAAGATGGCAAAGTAATGTGCGATGATCCTCTTCCCTTGAAGATCTGAAATCGCGTTTAAATAAGAATGGAATAATTAATATCAATTCCACCTCCGATTCCAAACCCCAAGGAAGAGATTGACACCCAATCAAAAAATATGCTCTAAATCAGAAATATTAATAAGCCCTACAAATTGAAGAGGCTTTATGCAAGTATTAGAAGCAATTATTAAAATCGTTTCATCATATATGAAATTGGCAGGATCATTTAAACTCCACAAATTTAAGATACACAAATTCCAGTGACATCAACTTCCAAACACTGACAAATATATACGATGAGCACAATCCTTTTGAGTTCTCAGCAATACCTCACTGGGAATACATGCATCCAATAAAAGAAAAATCATCATAAGAATCCAAGGCCCTCTTCTCCACAGCATCAGAAACTGAATCCCTCTTCCTACCCCTACCCACATGCTAGAAACTACGACACTATCAAAATGCTGCCTCATTATGTTTCATATCTTCAACGAGCACTTGAATCAGAATTTGAGCATATATCAAAGATAACACATTTAAAAACCAATGAAACAGTAGCTGCAACTGCTCTTCGCAACACAATAGCCCGATCAGCATATCTGAGAGTGGATTATGAACATATCTCAGCAGAACTGAAGCAACTTTGGGAACTCACCCTTTCTAGTCTAGCTCTGAAGACAAAATCCCTCCACCTTTCTGCTCCTCTTTTACTGAAAGAAACATCAACATTAATTACACTTGATGAAGTTTTCGCTAGCTAGGAGGATCTCATTGATGAGGCTGAGCATTTACTGTACAAAGTAAGCACCTCCTCTGCAAAGCTTGCAGAGGTATAAGAACCTGCAAAAGCATTAGAAACAAAGTCGCTTTAAATAACTACTCACTTTTCAATGATATATAATAAAATAAAAATAAAAATAAAAACATTCCAGAAAATTATACCTTAGAGACTAAATCTTGGGCTCCATACTGTTTTCACTTGTAAGAGAACAACCATTGTGGGAACCTGAGTCAAAGGCAAGGAGTTTTTCCTTTGCCTCTTTTAATAGCTTCATTAAAAGCTCATTCTTTTCATCTGACTTTGCACCAAGCTCTTGCAATTCAAATAAGAGTGGGATCAAATTATTATTTTGCTGCCTTTGTTCGCTATTACTGGAATCATCATAAATATTTTTCACAAAAGTATACCCACGCTTAATGTCCTTGCGCCAGCGCTCTAGTATATAATGAGATGGAACCTCATTTATCTTTAGTTGGATCAGCACAGAGATTGCATGCCTACATAGAATTCCTCTAAACTCAAACAAATGGCAGGAGCATCGCACTTGACAGTCAGCTGCGTTATAGAAAATCTCATAAGTTAACTCTTTCCAAGATACGCCATCTTTTCCAACTTTACGTTCTCTTACTTCAAATGTGGAAACTGACCCTTCTCTCTTAAGAACAAAGGTATAACAATAAATCAATCCCCTCAACTCATCCTGAAAATGTTTGAAAATATCATTGGTGTAAACACTTTGGAATTGTTTCTCAATTGGGAGAAGAGTTATAGTTGGAATGGTACAATAGAAAGAAGCAAAATCTGCTTTGTTTTCTTCTTCAGCCTTACTTTTTAAGGCACTGTCATATTGTTCAACAAATTGCTTCACGGTGGTCTTTGAGTGAACATACTCATCAAAGAAAGCATTCAAACTTTCACTCCGCTGAGTAGTTGACATTCCAGCCCAAAAAGTGCATTTCACATATACAGGAACCCAACGATGGCGATCTCTGTATAATGACTTCAACCATTCATTCTTCTCAAGTTTGTATTCTTTAATCAATTCTATCCAACTTCTTTCAAACTCATCTTGATTCACTGATTCATACACAACATTTTTCAACATCCTCTTAATTGCTCTATATTGGGAAAGTCCACCAACCTTCGTAGGAATCTTTTGCATTATATGCCAAAGGCATAATCGATGACAAGACTTCGTAAACACCTTTGCAACTGCTCCTTGAATAGCTTTGCACTGGTCTGTGATAATAGCTTTTGGGGCATGCCCTAGCATACACTTCAACCACGATTCAAACAACCAAATATAAGTATCAGTATCCTCATTAGATAGCAAGCCACAACCCAATAATACAGGTTGCCCATGATGATTCACCCCAACAAACAAAGCAAAAGGCATCTCATACTTATTTGTCAAGTAGGTAGTATCAAAAGTGATAACATCTCCAAAGGACTCATATGCAGCCCTACACCTAGCATCAGCCCAGAAAACATTCTTGAAGCCCCCTTCCTCATCCATATCAACCATGTAAAAGAAATTTGAATTCCTTTTTTGCATGCAACAAAAATAGTTACGAAGGGAGTCAACATCTCCAATGTCAAGTCTCGATTGTCTTGCTTTTGCAATATAGTTTCTGCACTCTCTCTCACCAGATGGCAACTTTTCTTGCCCACCAGCTTCAACAAGTGAATGATTCTTTTTGCTTTCTGTAATACCTGCTAAATCATTCAATTCCAATCTTTTTCTGACATGAGAATCCGGTACTTTGTTACATCTGAAGTGCTGAACCTTTCCGGGACTTAATGCATGATTATGATCCAGATAGACACGAGTGATAATGAACCTTCCGTCCTCTTTAGCTATAACATTGATTTTGGCCTTGCAATTTGTCTTAGTTGAAGGCCTTGAATGAAAAGACTCTTTAGCCTTCAATGCTGTCTTACCATTCCGAGCACAAGCAAGCGAAAAGTAACTTGACTTTCCATCACTTCTATTTTTTGTACTTATTTTTGCAACCCCAAAGCCCCAATGTTTCGCATATTTCTTATAATAATTACGAACTTCTTCCTCTGACTCGAAAATCATCCCTACCTTGGGGATTTCAACGTCATCTTCGACTACCGGATTTTCCAACTCTTGCTCATTCACTTTATCACTATTACCACTCTCCTCATTGGAAGGCACCTCTGTATCTTTTTTAGATGTCATTTCCACCTGAGAATCGATCTCCATTTCTTCAAAAATGTAATTGATTGCCCAAATAATTCCAACAGTGCAAAAAAGCAGTGTGCCTGCACTTGCCAGCAATAGTAAAGTGTATTAACATGATTTTCAATAGCTTGAGATCACATTGCAATTAAAATCTTTCCAGGACCTTAAAGCCTTCAAATGAACAATAATCCCATTCTTTTATTATAACAAAAAATAAATTTCAAAACTTAATAAAAATATCATGGGATTGTTTTTAATAGCATAATTTTCTCTTTTTTTTTAAAAGCATCATCCGATCAATAGCCCATTCATATTAATGGAAAAATACAACACATAAATTCTGGTATTACCCTATAAAGAAAAGAAGATCTTGACCAACTAGTTATAAACAAATATACACATAATAACCCTTTGATAACAATCACCTGTTTTGATGTTCAAGATGCTTTTCCAAAATGTAGTAGAAACACAATTCAATATTGAAATCCCATGCTAAACGAGCCAAAACTTCTTCTACCCATTAAGTAGATACAATAAATATGCCTATGAAACAATCACCTGCAAGAATGTATACAAAAAAAAAAATTGGAATTAGAAGACAACTCTTGTAAGCACATTATTTAAAATACATCATAGAAACAACTACAAACTGATAACTTATGGAACAGCATGTGCATAAAAGTAAAACATAATTGGACAAACATCATAACCTTTAATGTGGTATGAATAGAGGAAACAAAAGAAAAGCCTTTGAAAATAAGAATTGGCTTTTTAGATTTTATAATCAAACGCAATTCTCATCCAATATGTTCAACCAACAGTCATTCATACCTTCAATCTATTATATATGTTTATGTCAGAAAATCAGAATTTTTTCTGGATTTGTTTTGTTTAGAGCCCCAGACTACATGTAGGGATTTTCTTCTCCTTCAGCAAATAAGAAGACCAAGGGTTTTCTCATGAGACCAGATTGCATTTCAAATGTTTAGTTCCTGAAGATATTATTTTTTCTTTACTTTTTTCAAATTTCAAAAAGCAAAAAGGAATCTTTTTACTTTCCATGTAAGGAATGTTTTAAACAGTTGATGTGTTCAGATTGATTTTCGGTAGTATCATCCGAAAAGCATATCATTATGCTAGTAAAAAGAATCCTTTGTTTCATTGTAGTTAGTCAACTGTTAGTTGACAAATGATTTAGGTTAAAAATAAGATCAATCTCTAATTATTTTTTACAAAAGGAACTGATCTCATACTCCACGTAAAATTCTGGGACTTATAATAAATAAGATCATTTAAAAAAAAAAATCATGAGAATACATTAGAGTGATCTACTGGAACCCATTATTCTGGACATTTTTCCAAACTATTGATTTAAACCAAAATCAAAATTCTCAAAAAAATAATAATAATAATAATCGTATAGGATCACCTCAATTCAATTAACAGTACCTATTTAAACAAAAAGAAGGCTTCTCTTAAAAAAATTGTAATGAGCATTAGGAAATTTACAGACAGCCCTTTCTTTTCCTCCTAAAATCTAATAATTTGTTTCCCTAAGGTTGCATTTGGATACCTGGATTTGAAATATCTAGATTTGAAATTCACATATTTTGAAATTTGTGTTTGAACGCTAAAATATTTGTGAGACCAATTTAAAATCCACCATTTTTATTTAATGTATGAGGAGGATTTAAAATCCATATCTCATGATCAAAATCATCTCAAGTAAAATCCATGTATTAAAATTTTAACACTTGCCTAAATATTTTTTAGGTTTATGACTCAAAACAATTCAAATGATATTTTTTCCCTAGCAAATAACACGTCCACCTACTTTACCCATATGTGGACTTGAATCCTTGCTCTTCCACTTTGAAAAGTCAGTAAATACCAAAGGTCACCCTTGGATTCTATTATGACCCGAACCCAATTAATGTCAACCAAAACCCACTAATTTCTTTTTGGTTCAAGTCTTGTTCACGGGTCGTGTCAAATTTTGCCACTCCTACTCCCTGTCTAGCATGCCACATGAACCACAGGGAATGAAAACATCCATATGAAGCACAAAATGCAAGACAAGCAGTCTTTAACTTATGCAACTATAATTATTGATAATGGGTCACATCCGAAAAAATCACAAGTAGCATATTTATAATCAAATGCCCAACCATAAATTTTCCACACAAAGCACTCAAAGTTTTCTTCTTTTGTTTTTTAAAAGATGAAAGAAATAAACAATTTACGAAATCCAGAAAGAAAGTACATGATGTCATTAAAAGAGCTAAAACCAATATAAGAAAAATCAATGATGAAACTTGCGCGAACGTCAGAACATTCTCCTGTCATAGGTTTATATTAATAATTTTAAGATAAATAAGGCCATTAGTATTTAATTTTAGCTTCTCTCCAAACCTTACACATGATCACGTACTTTTTAAGCATAATTAATTTTTTGTGTTCCTCACAAAGGCCAGAACAAGCTGGTGAAGATAGTTGGAGAGTCTAAACACAATATGTCCAATATCAAACTATAACCACCTTTCTCAATGTCTCAGTACTGTCCTTTCTGAATCTCTAAAATAATGTTCGTAAAGAGCAAATTTAATGATTCTAATGGTTGACCTTTAAATTGATGTACTACATTGAACATTAGCAATACTACCAGAAATGTAGAAAACATTAAACAGCAATATTTGTCATCGACTCAATTCATTTATTCAAAATTTTCAAATATCACCAACTCCGCAAATTTCATGCATGTGTTATTTACTAGGAAGCACCGACACCGCTGAGGAGGAGACCATACCGGTGTTGGACACGTGTCCGACACTCCTTAGCAGTGTCCTATTTTTTTTTTTTTAATATGTCGGACACGTCAGGACACCTGTGGGATACGCCAGAGGACACGCCCAGACACTACTGGATAAGCCGGAGGACATGCTGGAGACCTTTTCTTTGTTAAATACAGAGGAAGAAGACAAAGGAGCCAGACCAGATGGAGCTAGTGTGTAGGGGATGGATTATGTGGGTACGTATATGCATATATCCATTCAAGAGAAATAAAGAACTGAAAAAGATGGTGGGGATGAGATAAAGAGAGACAAAAGAGATGAAGGGATGAAAGGGTCGGCCGGAAGAGAGGATCAGAGAGCTGTGTATGAAAACTGAAAGTGAGTGGAAGAGAGAGGGACTCAAGATCAATCTTATCTTCTTTCAGGGCTTGTTTGGCCACAAGTATAGTGTTTTGTTTGAATATCATTTATGTTTTTTCACAGCTTGTTTGGTCACAAGTATAGTGTTATGTTTGCATATAAGGATATATATATATATATATATATATATATATATATATATATTTGTATTAATGTTTTTAAAAAGAAATATGGGCTATGTGTGGGCCTAATTTACATGCACTATGTTTATTAATATAAATTAAAATTTGAGCAAAAGTTATTTTTTTTTTTATATATAATAAAAAATTATATTACTATTTTATTGCTGTATCCTTGTCATGTCCGTGTCATGTCGTACCAGTGTCTAGTGTCCGTGCTTCATGGGTTATTTAACATCGGAAAAAAATTATTGTTAATATTAGAAAATAATTGAACTCACACCATGTTCACAAGAGAATTCAAGTTTAACTTAACACAAAATCAGCCATCTGAAACCATTTTGAAATAACATAAAGAAAATTAAATAAAAGTTTCAGTTTTGATTGAGAAGAAAAACATGCAATTCAAAACCCCTACTCAGCTCAAAACCCAAGTCAAAAAATGCACTCAACTTAGTGGCTTTCTATTGTGCAAATTGGCATTTTGAGAGCAAAAAAGCCAAAAATTCGCACTCTTCATGTTTTGAATTCGCAAATGAAGAGTCTGTGTAAGAGGGGTGGAGAGTCTGTGGATCACCTCCTACTGCATTGCTCACGAGTGTTGGAGCCTTATTGTTGGTCTGTTCGGCATCCAGTCGGTTATGCCTTGGAGGTTTGATAGACTCTTGGAGAGGCTGTTTTGTGGGAGCCCACGCCCGTGTTTTTTGGAGGGCGGCACCCTTATGTGTTTGGTGGTGTGTTTGGAAGGTGTGGAATAGAAGATCTTTTGAAGGATTAAGTAAATTCATGGATTACATGTGAATCCTGCTAAAATTTTTGTTTTATCCCAACTTAAATAAATCCAAATAATGCTAATTGAGTCAAAATAAGTAAAACTAATGGATTACATGGTTTATTTTTTATTTTTTTAATAAGTAAAGGTAACTGTTTAATTTAATTAAGTAATCTCTTTCTTTAATAAGTCAAACAATATAATTTTTTTTTTTTTTTTTTGGGTAAGTTAAGAAGTCAAATAATATGATACCACTTACCTTCAGTCTTTAACAGAATATTATAAAAGAGACAAGAAAAAGGAAATAACTCTTACTACTGTTCAAAGATTTTTGTACTCTCATTACTTTTAGGGTTGCTGGAAGTAACCAAGTCATTAATCTCATGAATTAATCCGTAACTCTCTTTCCTTGTCAATGCATTTAGCTTTTGTTCAGAGTCATGAGAGATAGGGAGAGAAAGAGAGAGAGAGAGAGAAAAATGTATCCTTGTGTATATTCTCTATCTGCAGCCCTCTAAGTAAGGCTTATATAAGAACAAGGGATAGACACCCTAATTACATAATTACACAATAACCCTAACTACTATGGGTAATTACATAATGACCCAACACTATAAAGAATATACATTCTAACACTCCCCCTCAAGCTGGAGAATATATATCAAATAATTCCAGCTTGGAAAAGATAGTCCTTAACCGATTATGACCCAGTGTTTTGGTAAACATATCAGCTAGTTGATCTTCAGACTTCACAAATGGAGTAGAGATGCTACCACTTAATATTTTTTCCCGAGTAAAATGACAATCAATCTCAATATGTTTGGTTCTCTCATGAAACACAGGATTCGATGCAATGCGAACTGCTGCTTGGTTATCACAGAACAATAGAGTAGGAGCTTCAACTATTAACTCAAGTTCTTTTAGAAGATTTTGTATCCATGTCAACTCACTAGTGGTATGTGCCATTGCCCTGCACTCAGCTTCAGCACTAGATCGAGCTACCACTGTTTGCTTTTTACTTTTCCACGTAACAAGATTTCCTCCTATAAATGTACAGTAGCCTGTAGTAGATCTCCTATCTGAAGGAGAACCAGCCCAGTCAGCATCTGCAAAACCTTCCACCCTGAGATGACCATTTGAATGGTATAGTAACCCAAAACCTGGAGCTCGCTTGAGATATCGGATAATCCGAAGAACAGCAATCCAATGTGGCATTCTAGGAGCTCCCATAAACTGACTTACAATGCTAACTGCATATAAAATATCAGGTCGAGTGATAGTGAGGTAAATTAATTTCCCAACAAGGCGACGAAATCTGCCTGGGTCATTAAATAGATCACCCTCATCAGACACAAGTTTTGTATTTGAATCCATAGGAGCATCAACCGGACGACCACCTAACATACTCGTTTCTTCTAGCAAATCCAACACATATTTTCGTTGAGATAAACTTAT